AACTTCGTGATTTCTCTCTAATTTCTTCCATGATCCATTATTCATTTAAGAGTATTGTTCAATCTCCATGAGTTTATGTGGCATCCATCATTTTTCTTGCTGCTGAATTCTAGTTTCATTCCTTTATAATCTTACAGGATGCATGCCATTATGATAACTTTTTGTATTTACTAAGATGTGCATTGTGAGCTAGAATATTATCTATTTTGGATAAGGTTCCATGAACTTCTAAGGAGAAGGTAAATTCAGCTGTTTGGGGGTGAAATATTCTGTAGATGCCTATTAGATCCATTTGATTTATGTTGTTATTTAGATTGAAGATATCTTTATTGACTTCACATTTGTAGGACCTCTCTATTGATGATAAGAGTGTATTGGAATCAGTATTATTGTTGGGGTGTATGAGGAATTGAATGTCAAGAAGTTATTCTTTTTATGTAATTAGCTCTACTGACATTTGGGATGTGTACATTACTATTGTTATATCTTCTTCTTGAATTGCTCCATTTATCTATGTGGTGGCATTCTTTGTCCCTTCTCATTAATTGTGCTTGAAATTTGCTTTATCAGATGAGAATAGCTGCTCCTGCTTGTTTTTGGACTCCATTTGCATGAAACAATTTTTCCATCCTTTTATCTTCAGCCTGGTGTCTTTGTCTATGAGATGAATCTAGTGCAAATAGTAAATAGCTAGATTTTATTTCTAGATCTATTCAATCTATGTCTTTGAATTAGGAAATTGAGACCATTTGCATTCAGTGTTATTATGGATATGTGTTTGTAGTTTCCTGCTATTTGGCTTTGTTTGCTATATTTAATTCTGTCTTGATTCTCATTTGGTTGTTGCTCTTCTAATGATCTTCATCTATTGGGGAGTTTCTTTTGCGGGGAATGGGTTCCTCTGTACGCAGTTTAACTTGGAGTATTTTTTTGTAGTGCTGGCTTAGTGGTCATGACTTCTTTTACTTTATTTTTGTGATAGAAAGATTTCATTTCCCCATCGATTTTGAAAGAAAGCTTTGATGGATACAGCAATCTTGTCTGGCAATTGCTTTCTTTTAGAACTTGGAATATCTCATTTCAGGCCCTCCTTAGTTTTAGGACCTTATTTGAAGTGAGCCTTATTGGCTTACCTTTATATGAAACTTAATATTTTTCTCTTTCAACTTTTAATATTCTTTCCTTATTCTCTGTTAGGTATTTTGACTATGATGTGTCTTTGAGAATTTCTGTGCTAATCTTGTCTTCTTGGGGTCCGATACATCTTCTGTATGTAATTGTTTATCTCATTTCTTATATAGGGAATGAGATACCCTGTATCTCCATATTCTTTTCTATACCAATTATTCTCAGGTTTGTTCTCTTGATACTATCACAGAGTTCTTACATATACTGATCACGATCATTTTTATTTATTTTTATTACCAAGTGATATAATTGGTGATATACTGTTTCTTCGATACCCAAGCCTTAGGAACCCAATGACTGTCCCCCAAGAAGAATCACAATGTGAGGTTGTCTACAAGGCCCAGATAACAGCTGTTTCCTCATCACAAGGTTACTCCACCTGGCAATCCTTTGGAGAGAGATAGGGAGGAAGGGAGACCCTCTTAGGAGGGTCTAGCCTTATTGGTCCCCTAGGGCTGCAGCCCAGCACAGTCTGAACCCATACCAGAGGGGAGGAAGAAATGAGAGGAATCCACAGCCAAACCATCCCTACCTCACCAAGGGAAAAACCAACAACCTAAAACCCCAAAGGAAGGAGAGTGCCAAATGTCTCAATGGGGAAGTATTTCACAATTGGGATGCTTGCTCTGCATATGGCCTTGAATCTTCTCATTGTTGAGTCACTGTCTAAGCCTTAGGTGTTGAAACTGGTCTGGTGTCTTGCTAATTAATGAATTACAAATCCCCCAGGCATGTGCATTTTCCCTGGTCACTGTCCCAGCCTCTGGTGCCTCACTGAGCTCCAGCTTTTGGAAATGGGACAAGTAGCAGAACAATAGGCAAGAGGGTCAGTGAGCCCAGACAAAGGGCAGCAGGAAAAATACCAATACTTGCTTTGAGGCCAGTTCATGGGCATTTGGGAGAATGTATCATTGCATTTACTCAAGGGGGAGGGAATGTTAGATGATGAGGCAGAGATAGGGTGGGAAGAGGGAACCCAAACAGGACAGGAGGCAGGGGGTAGGTAATACTGCTGGTTATAGGTGATGAATTCTGCTTCCTCACATGTTGAAGTTTGAACATTAGAGAAGCTCACTAAGGCAAGCATATAAAGCAAGTTTATTTAAAAAGGGTAACATAGACTTATCCTGGGAGGGAGAGGGGGGCCATAGCTGGTATCCTGGTATCCCCAGAAATGAGGTGTTCTGCCCTTTTATATGTCCTAGCCTTTCTTTGTTCTGACCTTATCTCTCTCCTTCCTGCATACATGAAGCCCTAGAAAATGCTCAGTGGGATGACCAAAAGTTGGGAAACAGGTAGGCTGAAGGCAGAAGGGCAGGATGGTGCAGCCAACAACACATTAACAACCTTATAGCTTCCTGTAGGGATGGGCCAATCCTGGGACAAGTTACCTTAGCAACAGGTTGGAGCAGGGGCAGGTTCTTGATAAGGGTGGAGGAAGGGCTCTGAAGAACTTAACATTTCAGTCCCTCAAGGGACAGTCTCCCACTTCAGGGGATTCACTCAAAATTGGCATCCTTGATTAGACCTGACTCACTTTAACCATTTATGCTGACTGCCCATCTAATTCTGGTTTCATTCCCCCCTCTAATTTTAGGAACTCCTTATTGCTGTAAGGAGAATAGGAAATTACTGCTCTGGATGCTTTAAAGCTGAGAGGGGACAATATGAGGTGGGGCAAGCAACTTCGGAGTTCCCTTTTAGAAGTCAGGGTCAGTCCAGTTGGGGAAGAATGGGTTGTAAAGTCACCTGGGGATGGGTGCATCTATGAGAGAGAAACAAAAATATGAGTACTCAATAAATGTTGCAGCATTTGGGACATGTCAATGTATACCATGAAGATAATAGCAGTCAATAATCTCTTACCAGGAGGTGTGAGGGCTGAGAAGTTGTTTCCATAATAAGGCCAGAGTGTACAAAGCCTTTATTTGGGAATGTAAATCTTTAATATCCCCAGAGTTACCAGGAATGTAAACACAACATTTAACTTTTAATGTTACAAATGTCAATCCCCATAAAATGTACTTAAGCTACTTTATGTCATCTCATCTTATAAAACCTTTCTACTGGTATGATCTTTGTGTCTAGTAAAGAACCCATTGTTTCTGTTACTTAGGGCTAGATAATCATACTAGAGAACATCAGGCCTACCTGTGTGGATTAGGAAGATCTGTACCCTTAAACTGACTAAAAACTTCTGACTTGGCAGTTTCACTTGATAGTTGTTAGGCATTCCTTCCTAAGAATCTCTCTTTTGTAGCAACTAGTCTTACTTATTTTGGGAGGCTAACACAAATGTAAATCTTAAGTTACATTTAATTATTATTTTTTAAATGCCCAGGAATGGCTGTGTTTTGGTTTTAACAGTTTTTGCTAGGTGTTTAAGATGAAGCAGGTCAAACTGACTTTTGTTTCTATCTATTTTTAAGAGTCAGCCGAATTCCAATGAATGTCACTCTTGGGGGAACTTGAGAGCAGCTTCTTGGTTCTGCTAGTGCCATTTGCACTAGGATGGTCCAGGTCTTACTTGACCATGGGGCTTCCCTGGAAGCATCAGGGATGTCTCCCTTTTCCAATGATCTTCTCCTTCATAACAAGTGCACTGATTGATTTTGGCTTTCTGTTCTCCAGGGGTCTTATTAATCTCCCTGATCAGGAGGTTATGTGGCTCAGAGTTGCAAAGCCTTTAGAGAAGTTTCCTGTTCCCTGATTCAGACTGAGTCCAAGGGCAAGAGCCAAATATTGGTTTTCTTGGCCCTTTTAATTGAACTTTAATTTTTAAGTCATGATCTTAAACATCTAGCAAATCAGTCTCACTAGATGTAAATTAAGAGTACTGGACTTTAACTTTAACTTCTATAACCTTATAATCATTTACTCTTTTTATTAATTGGGTTCTGCACTATCCTATCTATCCTGTAGGTGATGGCTTATTATCTTAAATTAACCCAGGTTGTGTGTTCTTAAAGCAATGCCTCTGCAAAACATTAACAGGCAACATTTAGACCATTTATAAGGAAAATACAAAATAAAATGAACAAGAGTAAAAACATATTTACTTTGTGTAATCATTATCTTGAATTTTGACTGAGTTATACATTATACCCCTCATTTGAGATCCTGGTAATCTTAACAACAAAAATCAATCTTTTGAACATAATGTTCAATGAACTGAAGTCTGGCCTACTTTGGAGTCATTTTGACATGTAGTAAGATGGGAGGCAGAGCCTTATCTCAGGTAAGACAGGACTTCATAAATTTTTATAAGTCTTAAGTAAAGTGTTCTAGTTCTGAAGCTGATCTTTGCTTTTTAAATATCATATTATAAAGTACATATATTGTTGCTCAAGGTCACATGAATATTAGCTAACAGTATGATATTACATTTAAAACATGAATTTAAAAAAGATTGAGAGCTTTTAAACATTTGTGGAAAAGTAGCAAAATGCTTTTGTGTTTTACAATATTAATCTTTAAATATATTAGGCTCTCATTAACTTAAAAATACATAAAACTTTATATATCTTATTGAAAACAAGTCCAGTTATAGAACATTAAATGATATAAATAAATCTTCAATATGTTATTCTTATAAGCCTAAATTTACCATAAAACTTTAGTTTGGAGAACACCAGCTTGATATAATGCTCTTTTAAAGCTTTTACCTTAAAGACTTGCTTACCTGGAAGATATTAACACATTTAATATCCAAAGAAGAGTAATAGCACCACAATTGCATTGATGTTTTTATATTAACCAAGTTTAGCCTTTAAAGAAATAACATAGTATAATGCTCTAACAGTTGTTGTTTAACCAGTTGTTGTTTAATTTCTTCAAGATTACTTGCTCTAAAAAAAACAAAATAATAAATACAATGTTATATGGGTAAATTAATGTTTTAAAAAATCTTTGTCCCTTTAACATATAGGTGTGTTTACCAAGATGTGTTTACCTTACATCTTTGTGGAGAATGTTGGGACTAACATTAAAAGTATACTCATTGCAACACCCCTCCTTTCATTCAGATCATTCTGGGTTTGTAATCTGGCTTAGGACTTGGAATTGATTGAGGTAATATAGCTGTTTTTATTATTCCAGTTAGATCTTTCCCTTTGGTCTTAAACGGCTCTGTTTACTCAGATCCAGTGAGGATTTAGTAAACTTCTCATGTTTTTCTTGCAGGAACACCATGAACTCACATCCTCGGGCTGCAGGGGTCAGACTATTCTGTTTGCTGTTTTGACTCTCCTGCCCATTACAGTAGCCCCCTTTGCTCTGCAGCTTGAGTGCCATCAAATGACTCCCATTGCCTTTTGGTGTCCCAATTCAGGGTCTGGTCTCAAGATTAGAGTAATGATAGAGCCCTTCAAGGATTCCAGAGTTTCCCTTGTAAATTGTTTTGCACAGCAATAGTGACAGTGGTAAGAAGCAGTGGGGACTCTTAGGGTGCCACTGCTACCACCATCGCCTAGAAGTCCACCTTGGGCTGCAGGTCTCCCTCCCGCTTACAGCATTTCTGACACTTGGATGCAATTTATCTAAGCATTTATGTTTGGTTTGCACTCTGGTTGTTTATTTACTAAAAATAATCTTGAAGACAGGGCCTTTGGCTCCCTCACCTTGTACTTCTTTTTTGCAGTTCACACAGTGTCTTTGATGCTATGGGTGCTCACTAAATATTTGTTGAATTTCACTGTATCATGAATTCAGATTCCCGATTTAGACTGTAACAGGTAAATGCCCTATCACCAATGTATTTGCCCCACTTAGAAAGTTGAGATAAATAAGAAATACTAACCAAAGGAATAATAACTTTTCAGAAGTTTGTTTCAAATTTTAATTCTTCACAGTCACATGGTATTTTAGTCCAGTGCTGCTATAACAAAATACTTGAGATTGAGTCATTTATTTTTTTAAAAAAGAAATATTTAGTACAGTTCTGGGGCCTGGGAAGTCCAAGTTTAAAGGAACCCATATCTGATGAGGTCTTGTTTACTACTTCATCCCAAGACAGAAGAATATGATGACATGAAGCATAAAAAAACTTAAGCACATAGACTCAGGCATTTGTATAATAGACCTGAATTTACTCAGGAGGGTTCCACCTTCATGATTGACTCATCTGTTCAAGGTCTTGCCTGTCAACACTATTATATTGGGGACTGAGTTTGTAAGAATTTGGAGGTGCACATGCACAACAAAGCACCCAATATAGAGTGGGTGGTGGCTTTCTTTCACAGGAAGATAGAGGAAAGCAAGAAAGACAGATTCTGTGGTCCATCCTGTCCTGAGACTCGACGCTCACCAAACCATTCTCACTACAAGATGGGTTTCCCAGGTGTCGCTAGCCTTCCTTGGGCTCTGTGTGTGAGCTATGTGAATTGGAGCTGTGTGAGGGGGCAGGTCTGGCATTGTACTCTGATTGGGCTGTGCAACACAAATGCGCCTCTCCTCTCACTCTGCCTGTGATCACTGCACCTGAGATGGGTGTGACTTGCCAAGATGTCAGTCAATTTGCTGACATCACAAAGCAAGACTCTTCCTTTGAAACATTATCTCCTGCCTTATTTGGTGAAGAATATTCCATCAAATCTCCTTTGTAAGTCCCACTTATAAAAATAAATAGACTCCAGGTGCACACTCTCTTTCCCAGTTGACCCTTAAGGTCTCAGAGGTGTCCTGCCCTTGACATGAAAACTACTTCTGTATTGTGTGATTTCTCACCATTTTCTTAGCTTAATGTTGCAGCCAGTTCTTTTGAACCCAGCTTATCTCATCAGTGCAGGCAGCTGGTGATATCCAGGTATGTGGAAAGGAAGGCTCACAAATACTTTGAGAAATAAGAATCAAGAGGCACGTCACTGGCCTGACTTCCATGCTGCCATTAAAACTACTTATAAACATCAGGGATTTCCCTGTGCTAGCCAGAAGGGACATTAACCTAATCATACACATTTGTTTTACAAAGTACTGTATCATCTCCTCTCCTGGCCAACTCCTGTGACTTTTCAAGACCCACTTCAAGTGGCACCGCCTCTGTAAAACTTTCCACAGCAGCCCAACCATTCCACGTTTGTACACTGAGCACCTAGGATGTGCTAGTCACTGTGCTTAGTGCTGGAACACAGTGATGAGCAGGACTGATGTGGTCCCCACCTTGTGGAGCTCATGGCTAGTGTAAGGTAAGGTTCAGCCTTAGGACAGGGAACTGCAACCTTGAGCAGGGAATCAGGGAAGACTTGGAGGCTTCCACCCTTGCTTGGAACCATGAGGTCAATCTACCCATATGGGACAAAGACAAAGACATGCCAGAGCCTGGCATGGGGCAGTATCTGGTATGTTAGTCAGCTTTTTATCACTGTGACCAAAACACCTGACGAAAACAACTTAGAGGAGGAAAAGTTTATTTTGGCTCATGGTTTTAGAGGGTCAGTCCGTGGTCAGCAGGCTCCATGGCTCTGGGCCTAAGGTAAGGCAAAACATCATTGCCAAAGAACATGGCAGAGGAAAGAGGATCAGCTCAAAAAGGATAAGAAGCAAAGAATAAGAGAGGAGCCAGGGACAAGTTATAGAGTCCCCAAGAGTACAACCCCACTGACCTACTACCTCCTCCAGCTATGTCCCACCTGTCTGAAGTTACCACCCAGTAATCCAATCAAATCATTAATCCATCAAATGGACTCATCCACTGATTAGGTTACACCTCTCCTAATTTCATCATTTCACCTCTGAACACCCCTGCATACCCCACAGATGTTTGTAGAATGAGTGAGGCAGCTCTCTGGCCCAGCCTTATGACAAAGTAGACACTGGTCAGAAGAGAAGGACAAACATCCCAACCAAATCTAAAAGACCCCCTGGGTGAGCTCTTTGGGGATACTTAGAATTGGCTCTGTGTGACCTTCTAGCTGACCATGGTGAACTCCCATCCCAGTCATTTAGCTACTGGTACTCAGCCTCTTATCCTGACATAGATGAAGCCATGACACAGGTAATACAATAACCTGGCAGAGAAACAGTGCAGGTTTGAGGTTAGAGGGAGCCCATAGCTCAAAAACATTCAAGTGGCTCTTTTTCCCCACCATGTCCCTCTCTCAGGCCAGGGTTAGCAGCTAAGGTCTCAGAGGCACAGCTGTGCTGTTTTCTTCTATCACAGTAGTGAGAGAGAAACCACATAATTGCCCTAACTGACCATGAAAACCAAGCCTCATGTGGAAGAGTGCTTAGCAGCCTTTCAAGAGGAGGCTCCCTTCAAAGTTCAGTCATTTTATCCCACACAAGGAGAGAACTCTTACAGGCCATCAAAATCTTCTTTGAGGTCATCCCAGCTTGCAGAAAGAGTATTTGCCAACTTTCTAAAGAACACTCAGAATTCATTAGTATGAAGTAATTGTGGGAGGGCTAAAGGCAATTGCCACCAGAAGAACTGGTTTAAACTCACCTATTCCTACTCAAACGGTGTATTTTCTTCACAAGACACTGACCACTAAGGACATTTCTAGCACAAGGCTCAGCAACAATTTCCAAAGGGTCAATTGGGCTGAAACCAGCAGAATACAAAGAAATTCCTCTTTCTAAGTGTTGTGTTAGGGATATTTGAACCCCAACCTGCTGGAAAGGGGCCAAGGTTGTAGAGGAGGAGACTTTATAAGAACTTCTAGGGAAACATAAACCAGGGTGAAATTTTCATTTAAGAACTTACTACTTTTAAGTGCTATTTATTTTTTTACTCTTGCATCCATACACCCTATTGTTCATGGATTTCATAACATTCCATGTTCTGGGCAGTACTAGGTGACAGTGACACAGAGATGATATGAACAGCCCTTGCCCTTGGCCCTTGTGATGCTCTTAGTCCATCAAGGGACATGGAGGCATAAACATTGGAGAAAAATGAGGAGACTATGTAGCCACATAAGAGGAGCACCCAGGATGGAGTCCCTGATGGGGGACCCATTGAGACAGGTGACCCAAAGCTGGGGTCATAAGCACAGGTCACAGGAATCCACCAGGGGAGAAGGATGAGGAAATATTCATATGGACTGACACAGATTAAAGCACTTCTTGAAGCTCTGATGTCTTTATCTAGTAAGACAGAAGAAGGTATGGATGTGACATTCTTGATGTCATCCCTACTGGCGCTCCTGAGAGGATTAGGGAGCAAATGGCAAGAACAACAGCTGACACTTGCATAGCACTCAAGGAGCTCACCCTCTGGTGGGCCATTTCTCAGCCATGGTGGGTGGATTTAAGGAGATTCCTTCCTGCTGAGACTCATTCTTCCAGGAGCCTGGAGTATGCCTTTAGCATCCAAGGGCCAGAATTAGAAGGAAGCCCACAGCCAAGGAATAAAGCAAAGTTTAGCAGTGGAAGTGGTTTGGTGAATCACCGACCACAGGCCATGAAGATGAAGCAGCAGCCAAGGACACCGGTTTGAAATGAACTTGTTGAAGGGAAGTCCATCTCCCATATCAGTTAGCAAAGTGCTTTCAACTGCTAGACTCAAGTCTTTGGGCTCCATTTCCTCATTCAGCACTTCAGACTTCACTCCTATCTGTTATCTGTTTCCACAGCAAGTGGTATGAGTATTCAGATTTCCTTCTTTCTTTTTAAATACATATTTCTACTGCTGAGGGACTGAGACTAAATCTCTTGCTTAAGTCACACATTGGTTAGTGGCACAGCAGGGACTAAGATCATGGACCATCTTAGATTCTTCCATAAGCCACCCAAACATGCCTTCTCTGAATTTTCTAATTGGCCAAGAATAAGCATCCAAGGTTAACTTGAAGATGGAAGGCGTATAAAGCCAAATTACATTCACAAGTCAGGTTTTCTCTTTGTGCCTTTTTTTAATGTCAAATGAGATTGTTAAGCAAGGATCTGGTCTGCAAATGTTTAAAGAGCATGAGTAAGCATTTGTTTTACACTTAAGGACCAAGAAATTCATTTCAAAGCCCTCTGCAAGAGAGAAATTTTTTTGAAGTTCTTGATTCTTGCTGGAAAAAATCATTAACAGTTTTGCATTTTACTCCATAATATAGCTGGATTTGTTTTAATAGAAACAAGGATACTAGCTTGAAATGAGTTTCTCCTCTGCAAATTTTTGACTCAAATGGATTCTTCTAGGCAATGTCCCAGCTCACCTTGTGCTTTCCTGCATTCTTGTCACTCAGCAGAGAACCAACAGGTGCATGCAAGTGAGATTCAGAGACTTACACACCTTGTCCATCTCTGTCCCCACATCTTACAGGCCTTCACTTGAGTCTCAAAGAACAAAGCTATGAAGTCACATCCAAATTTGATAATGAGTATTATGAAGATGACAATGAAAAATAATGATTTTTACATTTGTATGTGCCAAAAGAAACACAGCTCCTTCATGCCAACCAACCAGTATACTATGGATCTGCAAATTAACACTCTGTGACTAGAAATTTGCTTTAAATATGAAACATGATCCCATCATTTGCTAATCACTAAGCAAGTCTATTGTCAACTGCTTTGGGAAAGCACACTTCATTAATAGCTATTGGCAACCAAGTATATTGATATAGTTCCTTCTATGGAACTACTTAGTGTAGTATATATGTATCTGCTCAATTTTTGGAATTTTCATACATGCCCAAACTGGGATGTCCAGTTCTCTTAATGCTCATGTCAGTGACAGTTATAGCTATTAGGAATTTCTGATTTCCTTTTATTTTCTCTTCTTTCTTGCCACCCCCACCCACTTCCCCACCAGTGCTGAGAATCAAGCCCAAGGCTAAGCAAGCATTGTGGCACAGTATTGCCACCTGCAAGCCCAGAAATTCTAATTTTCTTTTCTTTTTTAAAATACTTTATTTTTAGTTGTAGATGGATACAATCTCTTTATTTTATGTGGTGTTGAGGATTGAACCCAGGGCCTCGCACGTGCTAGGCGAGCGCTCTACTACTGAGCCACAACCTCAGCCCACAGAAATTCTAATTTTCTAAACCTGCAGTGCTAAGATCAAGAAGGAGAGCAGCAGTTAATGGAAACTTCTATATCTGTGAGAGGATTTATTAGCCTAGATTTCCATTATTTTTTAACCTTCTGGAAGTTTTATTTTATTATAAAAGGTCATTTGCACAAGATCTTTATTTTTTCCCTTAGAATATGTTAATTGGGAAAAAAGATTATATAACAGAATACAAATCCTTGTCATATAAACAAATATTGAGAGATGATTTAAGAACCCTGTATAGAATTTTATGTTCATGAGCTCCTTTTCTGGGAAGTTGCTTATCTTTAAGAATTAAAACTGGTTCAATTGAACAATGTACTATGTCATATAATATCAACTAATATTGACTGCAGCCACTGTATCTGTACTGACACAAGCTTAGTTCATTTCTAGGGGGTATTTTCCACTAAGTACTGTGAAAGCCTAGAATCTTGAAAGGCTGGAAACATGGGTATTAATCATTCATCAAACACTGGAATGCTGGGCACACCTTCTACTGCATGAGCAGCCCCAGCAAAAGTAAAGATTTTCAATTTGGTTATGTGTTTTTGTTTTATCTAAACTTTATAACAACAATCCTCCTGAGGATAACAAAACTACACAATTGCTCTCCCAAGGAGTGCATAACCAGGTAGCTGATGACTGAATTAAACAACATTTTCTCACTTGTTTTTCATGGAAGCAAATGTTCTACCACTTCCACTACCAGGCCTCTGTACTCAGACATTCCCCCCCACACCCCGGAAAAACCTGGCTAGTCACCTTTGTTTCCTCCTCCTTATTCTTTGACTGAAGTGCCCTCTGGTTTTTAGCAAATTCACTGGCCTCTGATTCAAATGCCTCAATGGAAGTTTTATCATGTTACTCTCAGGCAACATCTACAGATAAATTAAAATTACAGGACTTCAAAAAAAGTGATAATAATACACCTGAATATACCTTATCTTTAAAAAAAAACACATGTTTTTAAATGTGGGGTTGAGGATTGAACCAGTGCCTTAACACATGCTAGGTGCACTCTACACTGAGCTACAACCACAGCCCCAAGAATATCCCTTATCTTAAACGCTTGGTACCAGAAACATTTCAGATTTGGTGTTTGTTTCAATTTCTTATACAAAATGAGAGCTTGGGGCTGGTACCCAAGTCTAAACAAAAAATTTTCCACTTGGGACATCAGGTCAGTGCTCAAGCACTCCACCTGCTTACTATAAATGCTGAGTAAGTAACTTCTTCCACTTCTCACTTTCTCCATGAAAGGACTTGGAGATTGTTAGCTCGGATATTCATGTTATAGATTGTTGAGGACAACTTCCTTACCTGAAAGACCACAACATAATGACCTAAAGAAAATTAAGTGACTTGTCAAGATGATATCAGTTCGTTTTACCACCTCGATCTTCTCCTACTCATAACAAAAAGAACTGCAGTTTACTTCATGGAATCATGAGCTAGGCACTACACTTAGATGACTGCATGTGTTATTTTATTTGAGCCTGGCAACACTTTTTCAAGGTAGATTGTCCTTCCACTTACTTTAGAGAGAGGGAAATAAAATATCTGGGAGAGAGGTTGAGGAAACATAGGTACCCACATCACATACAAACACAGATTTGAACACCAGCTGAATCTGGAACCCATGCTTCAAATCACTACTGATCTTGCTGCCTTTTTGGTAACTGTGTATGGAGATATGCAGGTAAAGGTATATAGATATACTGTACCTAGGTATATATCAAAAGTCAATAAGCAAGATATACATTATTTTTGCAGGTTTTCAAACTGTAACTAAATTGCATTTCAACTGCAGGGTGGACAGGGGAACAGGAGCAGGACATCCATTGTTTCTTCTTTCTTCTACCTTCTATACCACAGAAATCACAAAAGCTAAATGCTACATTTCCCAGACTCCTTTGCAACCTAACTCCTGGAGGTGCTTTAGATTCTGTCAATCAAATATGGCAGAACTGGAGCAGAGGCCAGGCATCTGTTGTTCTTGATGCCACACTGGTTGTGAAGACATGTGGTTTCCTTGCTGTACCATTAACAGAGGTTCTGGGCTGTGGTCACTGGCTTGGAAAGTTGAGAGGAGGGCCTGTGGCATCCATTCGGATGGTACAGATGCTTACAGGCACAGTGTGATTCCAGAGCCAGCAATAGAGCTGTGGCTATTGTGGTGAGATACTGATTATGGTGGTTTCCTGGCCTTATTTGATGGCTTCCTAGTTGTGATAGAGTGGTATGGCAATGATGTCAGCAGTATTTTGACCAAGAATGGGACACTTCCCCTAGTGACTCATGCAGGTTTGGATAGCTTTCTGGAGCAAAGCAAGAAGATATTGAATTCCAGGCCCAGCCGAAAGCAGGACCCTGATAAATTCCCTGCCCTTTGTGGAGTGATCCTGAAGGACTGGACCCTCAGAGGAAGGGTAAACTGGAGGAAAACCAGTCTTCAGACCCACCGCAGTCCAGCCTCAAGGCTTCTGCATGGCCCAAAATATCTTAACTCCTGAAATGGAAATAAGTAATTCTGGACTTACGGTTACCAAATGTGGTACAAGTTAATGAAAGTACTTCTGGAGGAAGGAAATATCCTAAACTTCAAATTTTTGAATGGCAACTTTTAAAACAGCATATCCCACATGTTGCCTATGATAATCAAGCAGCTATGACAACGAGAATGAGAAACAGCAGAACCTACAATAGAAACAGAAAATAATCAGAAGTTATTATAGCTCAAAATTCTAAAAGAAGTCTAGTGCATGTCACAAATATGATTTAAAACTTTCTAATAACAACATTAAAAAGGTAAAAATAATTTGTAAATATTTTCCTTTAACTCAATGTATTTCAACTGATAATTTTTGCTTAATCCTTATGATTTCAACACATACTCACCACAGGCCACATCTCCACTTCTTTGACTCTCAGAGCCCAAGCCATCCTCTTCCCACCAAGGGCTGCCAACAAATGATGAATCCGGCATCTGTGAAAAAAAATAGGCATTGCTTGCAGTGCACTCGGACTCAGCCATGGAACACTAATGACAGGGACACTCCATGTTATAACCAGGAAGATGCATCTTTTAGAGACCAAAACAATTTAAGGAAGAATTGTTACAAAAAAGAGAGGGGAAAGGAAGAGTTCGAATAGTACTTGGTAAGAACATTGTACAAGCTGAAATCATACAGAAGGCAAGTATATTCCTTTGAGATAAGGATTACGGATATAAAGAGATATGAAATATTATGACAGTAACAAAAATGGATAGCATCCTTTGAAAGCAGCAATTTTTTAATAATGTGGAAGAAAAAAAGAAAATGTCTTATGGATAAAAAATCAGAAAACAAGAGAAAAAAGCTACTATCAGTTTTTTTCAAGGTCAAATTCAATATTTGGCACATGCCTTACAAAGCAAAATACTCTCATGAGAAATGCACGTTGTTGGCTTCTCATTTTATCTTCAAACACCATTTTTAAAGATAAATAAATATTAATTCACTCTATTTTTAATTCTCATCCAGTAGTGCAGGATTCAGAGGCTCCAATGTGTTCATCATTGTTGCTGGTGTTGCTTGTTTGTCAGTTTGTTGGGGAGGAGAGATCTTAGACAAAATGCTTTGCAAAAGGAGATCTGAAATATACCACAGTGAATCTCCACATCTGTACAACCACAAGTCTGGGATCCTAATTAGAGTAAGATGTACTCCATATTTGTATACATATGCCAAACCACACTCTATTGTCATGCATAACTAAAACGCACAAATGAAGTAAAATAAATAAATAAGAAGAAGATTTGAAGTAAGTTTGTTTCTAGTAGGACCTGTCTGCTGTTGCTAGGTCATGAAATATTCTCCAGCCAGAGCTGGAGGTGACTTATGCCGTTTCTAGGCAGAGAAACACTCACATGGCAGTAAACATCCAGGCATCCCAGGAGGTGGCTCTAGTAATAATTTTCTTGCTCTTTTGTACCCTTAAAGGTTCAATTTTCCTGACTTTTTACTTTTTCCTGGTGCCATTCTGTATGTAAAATCCAAAATTGATGATTTCTTTTCAAAGACAAAAATGTTACTATACTTCACACAGCCTAAGTCTGATCTTTAAAAATATTTATATCTACTTACAATATATTCATCTTTGTCATAAAATATCTCATAATATCTGTGTTTGAGCCTATCCAATGACTGAAAAGGTTTGTATATTTTATTAAAATATCTATCATTATTACAATACATCTAAGATAACATGGACTAGTTTTATAAAATCCTGGAAGTGAAAGTGAACTATTGTTCCAGCATTCATTTTTGTCTAAAACTAAAGAGTTTTTACTGAAAAAAATAGTTTTTTTTTTCCCTTCTACAAACCTGAACACAGTGCCACCTGGAAATATGATTTTCAGAATTTACAGGTTGGTAAGATGACTCATAGCAGAAGTCATACCATACATCTCTTTTTATGTCTGTAGCCTGGTAATATGCTGTATAAATTAGACAAATGCCCACATATTTCTAACATGCTTCCCAAGATAAGGGACTTTAAATTCAAAAAGAAGTGTTGTCCTAAATTACCTCAATGAACTTGATTTTTATAAAAGTGAGGGCAAGATGAGACTAGTAGCAGCTGAATAAACAAAAGCAATGAATTTGTAGTATCTACCAGTGCACCTAAGAAGAAGCAGGGAAAGAAATTAAACCTCCCCACCTCCAAGAGACCATGACCAGCAGCCAAGTAGACTGCAAAACTCAGCAGAGGTGACAAACCAGCATAGCCTTCTGGCTCCCTTCCCAGACGGCCCTGAGAAACAAATAAGCAGCAAGCATAGCAACAGACTCCTGGACAGCCACCCTGGTCACATGGGGACAAAGGAATATTATTTCTAAAGCATTGAAGAAAAGAATTTTATATCCAGGCAAATTCTCATTTAAATGGGAAGGGGTTGGTATTCATTTTGTATCACAGTCATGACAAATGACCCCAAACCTAGCTGCTTCAAACAACACATTTATTATCCTACAGTTATATAGGTCAGAAATCTGAGTTGGCTCAACTGATGTCTCCACTTTGGATTTCACAAAGTCAAAATCAAGATGTTCAACACCTGAACTCTTATGCAGAAGCTTTGAAAACAATGTGCTTCCAAGGGCATTCAGATTGTTGGCAGAATCCACTCCCTTGCTGGCTGTGAGCAGGACACTCCTTAACTTTAAGAGGCCTCTCTCTGGTCCATACATCTCAGATCCAGCAACAGCACATCTAATTCTTCTCTTGCTTAGAGTAACTTTTCCTTCTGCTTTATCCTTCTTGTCTCTATCCTGAGAAAGTCCTCTGATTTTAAGGGCTCATCTGATGACACTGGACCCACTCAGGTAACCTGGAAAGATCTTTTTATTTGGGCTTCAACTGATTGATAATTTTAACTACAAAACCCTTCAGAGCAGTGTCTAGATTAGTGTTTGAATAAGCAAGGGACAGGAACTTGAGAAGAGAGCTTTAGAATTTGTCTGTAAAGTGTGCTAAGAATATTTTGAAATAGAAAGCCTAAAGAATATTTTCCTCTTAAAGACCCAAGTTGGCAATAAAGGAAGGGGAGGGAGAGACAGGGAGGCGGGGAGGACATAGGGAACAAGATCTACCAAATCATGCTATGTCCATGTATGGGCAGACCACAATTGATCCCGCATATATAATATTTTAATTAAGATAATAACAATAACATTAGGGAGATTAGTTGAGTAGAGCAAGTGGGTCAGGAAAAGGAGCAGAGGAAGGATAGGAAAGGGCTGGGGAAGGAGATTGATCAAATAACGTTTTGTGCATGTACGAATGTGTCACAATGAATCGCACTATTATGTATAAAATATAATGCACCAATACTTTTTTTGTATAAGATCCCAAGTTGAAAGTACTTTTTTTGCAGAAAGCACCCCAACTATAAGAGGTGGGAAAAAAGAAGACAAGAGAGCCAAGGAAGATGAGTAACCGAGTAATGTGTTAAAGATTATGACTGTGGAAAAACAAAGGGGAGGAAGGAAAAACTGAAAACAGAAAATAAGAAGTATACTTATAAATAACCCAGATACATAATTCAGAGCAGTCTAAGATCAATAGGGCTGGAGGTAGCACACAGAAGAGATGTGAAAATATGCCAGATACTTTTTATTAGGGATAAAGCAAAATTAATGACAAATGCAAATAAATATTAGCATTTGTCATAAGTGAAGAGTAACTAACACGACAAGAAAAACAGAATGTGTAAGTCATGAACCAGCAGAAGACAATTCAGTATAGTAGCCAGGACACAAAAACAGAGAAAGAAATAAATCCCCAAAACGCACAACAAATGGAAAATATGATGACAAAGTCCAAATATTTAACAGAAAGTCCAAAATATGCAACCCACCTAAATCACTAATCTCAGCAATGAAAGACCTGAAATGCTCAGGTTGAATTTTTGAAAACTCTAACAATGTGCATTGTTTTACAAGATACCCTGAACAGGAAAAGGAAAAAAATAAAACTTTTAAAAGTAGTGTATCAGTTAAGACAGGCCAGGTTTGACTGGAGAAGTAAACACCAAAATTTCAGAGACTGAAAACATTTATTATTCTCCTAAAAAATGGTTGTAATGATAATTTTGTTATATTTTTATCACAAATCTTTTAAATTATTTTTAAAAGAATGTTTATTTATGCTATATATTCAACTTGGGGTGGCAAGAAGGCTCTGCACATTAAAATAAAGGACAACAATTAGAACCTTGTTTCTTTTTTTATTGGTTGCTCAAAACATTACAATGATCTTGACATATCACATATCATACATTTGATTCAAATGGGGTATGAATTATTATTTTTACCATGTGTACAGATTGCAGGATCACATTGGTCATACATCCACATTTACACATACTGCCATACTAGTGTCTGTTGTATTTTGCTGCCTTTCCTATTCCCTTCCTATCCCGCCTCCCCTCCCCTCCCCTCCCCTCCCCTCCCATCATCTCTCTCTACCCCATCCACTGTAACTCATTTCTCTCTTTTTCCCCCTTTCCCCTCACATCCTCTTATATGTAATTTTGTATAACAATGAGAGTCTCCTCCCATCTTCCGTGCAATTCCTTCTCTTTCCCATTCCCTCCCACCTCTCATCCCTGCTTAATGGTAATCTTCTTCTCATGCTCTTCCTTCCTGCTTTGTTTTGAGTCACCATCCTTATATCAAAGAAGATATTTGGCATTTGTTTTTTAGGGATTGGATAATTCACTTAGCATAATCTGCTCTAATGCCATCCATTTCCCTGCAAATGCCATGATTTTGTTATTTTTTAGTGCTGAGTAATATTCCATTGTGTAAAAATGCCACATTTTTTTTTTAATCCATTCATCTATTGATGGGCATCTAGGTTGGTTCCACAGTTTAGCTATTGTGAATTGTGCTGCTATGAACATTGATGTACCTGTATCCCTGTAGTATGCTCTTTTTAGATCTTTGGGGAATAGTCAGAGAAGGGGAATAGCTGGGTCGAATGATGGTTCTATTCCCAGCTTTCCAAGGAATCTCCATACTGCTTTCCAAATTGGCCGCACCAATTTGCAGTCCCACCAGCAATGTACAAGTGTACCCTTTTCCCCACATCCCCGCCAGCACTTTTTGTTGTTTGACTTCATAATGGCTGCCATCCTTACTGGAGTGAGATGGTATCTTAGAGTGGATTTAATTTGCATTTCTCTGATTGCTAGAGATGATGAGCATTTTTTGTGTGTGTATTTGTTTATTGATTGTATATCCTTCTCTGAGAAGTGTCTGTTCAGGTCCTTGGCCCATTTGTTGATGGGTTATTTGTTTTCTTATTGTTTAATTTTTTGAGTTCTTTGTATACTCTGGAGATTAGATCTCTATCTGAAGTAGTGAGGGGTAAAAACTTGTTCCCAGGACGTAGGCTCCCTATTTACCTCTCTTATTTTTCCTCTTGCTGAGAAAAAAC